TCCCAGTCCTTAAGTCTGAAGTAATCCAGTTATTATGTAAAAATTGTGACTGTAAAAATAATTCACAGGCAAAGTTATCAGTAAGGACGGGAGAGAGCAGGATACGCTGTTCCTCCTTCAGCTGCAAGGATTGATAATGGAATAATGGATATAAATAAGACAACCAACAAATGCCAAATACGCTTTACTTTGTAAGAATCCTTCAAAAAAAGAAAAAAGAAAAACAACAATCATAAAAACAAACCAAAAAATTTAAACAAAAAGTGCATCGCAAGCAGAATTAGAGAACACAATTCAGTGCTTTCTGGTTTTGAGTTCCAGTTAGTAGTAGAATTACACATTATTTCCATAATTTTTCTTTTAAATTTTCTTTTAAAGCCTCTCCGCCTGTAATTTCAGCACTTAAGAGAAAAGGAAAAACAATCATGGTATCATGGATTATCCTTTCTTTAAGGCAACCGAAAGTAAAAGGGCTTCTTTTCACAAATATCCAAAACGAAGAGCAGAAGAAGGGTTTATATACATGTTAAATATTTGTGTATTCAACCTGTGATTCCGACAGATTGTAAGTTTGGTTGATGAATCCAGACTGCCCTCTAGTGGAAAATAAAGTCACAGCTGAAAACCCTTCTAAAACAGCTTCTATTATCCCACAGATAGGAAATGAGTGAGGATCATATCTAATATAGTCATTTCTAATTCAGACAGCTCTCTAATGATGTTCCATTGTCTGGCTAATTTCACACTAGACTCCTCATTTAAGACTGTGTGGAGTTTAAAGTTCTCTGAGGTGTTTCTACTGCGGTCTGCCATATTTTAAAGTTAGTTTCACATGATGAACACAACTGTCCTCTCACTTTCAACAGCAGATTTGATGCTCTTACACTGATCCTCTTTGAAATACACCATTTACTTTTTTTTAAAGTTTTAAATCAATAACCCTGTCTGTCAACCATGTTTGACACGATGGAAAGTTAATCCCTGCCAACTACTGAATTATTCAACTTCCATTTAGTCTCTGGGGATGTGTCGCCTTTGCAAACTGTTTATAGTAGGAATGCTGCACATTGTGGTTGCAGGCTATGGCGGCATGTTATTCAGAGGCCTGTGAAGGTAACAGGTAAAGTGACGAGAGCTGTCACGCACTCCTCCTCAGTAAGGTCAGCTGTCAGAAGAGAGAGTCGACTCGCACAGCAACGTGCCGCGGAGCAGCACAAAGCCTCTGGTGTTTGTTTGCCAACGCCGAGTTGCTTTCTCTTCCAGTTTCTTTTCTATAGAGAGCCTTAAAATAAAAAAAAGTAAACTGCAAATTTATCTCTTTTTTTTGTACTTTTGACTGTAAAACCAAGTACATCTGTGTTTTATTTGCAAATATTCAAAATGACATTTAAATCCCCTTTTTAGCTTGCTGGCGTTTGCTCCCCCTGACAGTTCGCCTTTTGTGCTAGGTGTATAAAAATAAACACATCAAGATATGAAAATACTCTGTCAACAAGTGTTGCAAATGAGGGGCTGGATACAAAGTTAGGCTCAGAAAATATCTCAGATGTGATCAGAACAACAACAGTAAAAAAAAAAAAAAGGTGGATGGTGTAAGGCTCATCTATGCACCACACCCATAGTGGCATGCCAAGTTATGCAGTTAAATGAGATTCACTGTTGTCACAGTGAACAAACTGGGTTGTTAATTATTATATGTCCTCACATGTGTAGAAAATGCTAAATGAAATCAAGAAAAGAAAGAATGAATATATGATTTAGCCCCTTGCAAACATGTCTGTATCCCTGGAACCTTTTGCCTCCTTACAATCAATAACATCAATCTATATTAATGGGATTGTATGAGATAGAATAGAATATATGTGTAAATCAAATTTTGGAAAGTGTTATGCACGTTTGTGCTCTGTCCTTTTGACTCTAATACCTCTAAATAAAATCTTTAAAAAGACACTTAATTGGTGGATAGGGTTCAGCTTTGTTTAAAATAATCAATGATAGTAATTCCAATAAAGGTTTAGAAGTTTGTTAAAGAAAATGAATGAACAGAGGTATCATGAAGTACAAGGAACACGCCGGATAGGTTAGGGCGATGTTTAATGCAGAGTTAGGTTAAAAGACAATATTCAAAGCCAGGAAAAGCATTCGTCAGAGAAGCAGCTAAACTTCTCTGGTTAACTCTGGAGGTGCTGCAGAAATGTGTAGTTCAGGTGATTCTCAGGGAGAATCTGTTGGAGCCACATATTCTTATGCATTTCCAAAATATGTCTGATATGGAAGAATTACAAGAAGATGGAATAAAAGTGTAACTCTTCGGCTATGTTGTGGTGGAAAACAATGCATGTATATATGTCTTTTCACATCATCCCCACTATGAAATATCAAACTGTACACGCTTTAATGCCTTCATTTCACAGTGACGCGTTACTCTATTACATAGAGTCCCAAATTCACTGAAGTTAGTAACAAAATTTAAACGTAAAAAGGGTATGAATAATAGCTACAATTCTAGATCTGAAAACTAAATATGATATACATAATGCGAATGGTATGCATTTCACATTTTTAGTTCCATTTTCAATGCAAGCAGTGAACTGAAAACAGATTAAAAGAGCAAAACTAATTGTACTTTAAAAGCTTGAACTTAAAAGTTCCTCAGTCAAGTGATTGTAGCAACTATGTTCCATCAGGGCTGAAAAACAAGTCGCACCTGTTTTTCCAAAAGTGGAGAAACCAAACCTGAATCTGCGCGTCAGTGTCTGCTTTGATGTGACACATGGGGGCTTACATCATTGTGATTAATAATCATGACACACTTTAAATGCAGGTTATGTCATTTTCAGATAAATGCATCGATACCTGCTGCTCTCAGACTGACTCCACGCTGTAGCTGAAGTATAGAGTTTAGTTTTTAATGTATGAGGCAAACAAGGCAGATGTTTCAGATTTTGACCATGTACTGTATTTGTTTTTAAAGATACAGAAAGAGAGGCTTCAACACAAGTAGAAAGTGTTTTATACAGTTATATATTTAATGAAAACATAAAAATAGTTGAGAAAGTCAACAGGATACAGTTAACAATAAATAGAGAAAAAGTCTTTGAAAAACAGAACAGACTCTGGGTCGGTTTGCCAAGTTTTACCCCATTTCAGGCCCATGAGACAATTCATTTCTTAACAACTTTTTATAAAATACGCAAACCTCTGATAATCTAATTCTACGTTATTTTCCAAAAATTACCTGCAATTTCCTACTTAACTGACTGCAATTCTGCTTCCTGTTTGGGCCAAATAACGTATGAGATTATGACCCCTTACTAGCCCAAAACAACTGTGAAAGACCTCCTGGTCTCAAAATCATGTTTAAAAGCAGTCGACTACGAGTGGATCAGAGAAAAAGTTATTCTAAAGCATCGAAAATCACAGTGGTAAAGAAACGTGCCCTGGATGGGAACAAATTCACAAATGGTCTGTGAGAAAAAGCTGGTGGGAGATGACTCCTATTAGCACCCAAAAAAAGTTAGGAACAAAATGACCAAAACTGCAAAAGTATGAAATGGTGAAAGGTTGAAACAGCCAGCAGCAACAGGTGGGATTAAGTCAAACAAATTAGCAGATAAACATATGTTGTTACAGACTCTAAAAGGTAAATAATATCAAAGACATTATAGCTAACATGAGTCTGATGTAAGAAAAGTAAAACACAAGCTGCGTTTACATTATAAATGTGTGTAAAACTTTGTTGACATTCCGAATGTCAAAACTATTTCACAATTGCGGTGTTTCCGTTAGTTAAGAAAAGCAATTAAAATCACGTGAATAAGTTTCTTTTCATGCAATAAATCTTTTTTTTTTTAAATGCAGCGCCAATATCCTCCTACAACTTCCTGTCTTCATCTTTTCTGCCAGTAGCAACATCAGGTTGTTGATCACATGACTTATGTGATGCAAAAAGTGTTTTCATTGCAGTTTTGTGAAATACACTAATTTTGACTTTTCGATTTAAGCTATTATATGGTCAAAGGAAACACAGATACAGTTAGTGTGAAGTCAACCACATGGTATTCAGTGGAAAACAGAAGCATAACAATGTGGTTAAGGCACTCCTTCAGCATTTTAAACCCAGATATAGTCTGCATCAGTCTTTTTACAATATATAAAGCTATGTTTGGAAGCTAGTCTCTGAGCAGTCCCAGCTTCTTCAGGGCCTTGCGCCGGTCCTCTTCATTCTCTGGGCGAGGGCAGATCATCACGCTGATGCCTTGAGATCGAGGCAGCTTGGAAGACTCTCTGTGGTGGAATGCCTGTGTAGGTTGGGGCTTCTGGGATTCTGACGTTCCGCTTGCCACCAAACCCTCACCTTTAGGGTGATTAAAGTCTTTCCCAGTCCCCAGAGAGGCGGGTCTTGGCCGAGTGTTGCGCAGGTGCTTTGGGTCTTGCTCGCCACCAGCCATCTCCAATAAGCTCAGATTGGACATCTGGCTGCTCAGACCCAAACCAGATCGCTCCAAGGTTGCAAATTTCATACTGATCATCTTTGGCGGCGATGTGTTAGGCAGGGTACTGAAAGTGGCCTCTGTGACAGCAGGAAGTTCGTCACCTGAAGGCCCAAATCCATCGCTGAAAGCTGCAGGTGCTGGGAGGATATCAGCATCCTGGATGGGAGGAGATGCTGAAGAAGCTGATGGTGACACAGTAGGAGTCAACGCAGACTGTTGGAGTACAGGTGCTTGTAGGGGACTAATGACTGGGGTAAGAGATGGTGTTACAGGGGGTGTGTGAGGAGCAGGACTGACTGGAGGAGAGGGGCTCGCCAGTGACCGTTTGTATGCAGCAGATTTTGGAGGAAGCTTAGGGCTTACAGCACGACTTGATTCCTCCTTGTTGTCTTTAAGCAGTCCAAGCTTTAGGAGGGCCTCCATTCGAACCTTCTGAGGGTCCAACAACATCCGATCACTGTGGGAGGGCACCGAATGCCCTGGGTTTCCATGAGAGGCAAGTGTTGGTGACTTTGGTGACTTTAAAATAATGTTTGAAGGTAGCTTCTTAGGTTTTGGGGCCACAGCAGGTGGATTTCTGGGCTCTGAAGGCTCAGTGGGGGGATTCATTTGGGGTAAAAGGGAAGCAGCGTCTGAGGCTTTGCTAGAAGAATCCTCAGCAGTAGAAGAGTCTACAACAGATCTCTTCACAGAGGCTCTCAAGCGCATCTGCTCCACATCAACAGTTCGTTTTTGCTCTGTGAAGTCGTTTGAAGGTGGGGACACTATGGCTGTGGCCTCTGGTGGCAGGACCACAGTCGTGGCCTCCACGGTCATGGTCTCCGGTGGCAGGACCATGGTCATGGTCTCCGGTGGCAGGACCACCGTCATGGCTTCCGGTGGCAAGTCTGGTTCTGGTTCATCTCTGAAGTCTGTTGGTGGAGGGATTATATCCAGGTCATTCTCTGAGGCATCTCCAGAATTTGTGACATTCTCAAGCTCAAGATCTCCATCGAACTTTGAAACGTCAGTTGTTTTGTCTGATGATGAGGTTGTGTAACCAGAGTTAGACACCGAAGGATCAGTTTCAACTCCCAGGTCCTCTGTTTCAACATCTTTCATGCCGACTGCAGACGTGGAGGCAGATTGTGGGTTGTAGTTTTGATTTGCAGCGTGATGCTCAGTTTCACACTCTGTGGTTAATCCAGCAGATGGAGGATCTGCTGTTGTGTGGGGAGTTAGAGTGGATATCCTGAGACTTCCTGATTCGAGCTTTTCAGTGGGAACATCTGAGAAAAAACAAAAGCATTGTTAACATTTCAATCACCATCATTCATACAGACAGTGCATGTCACATTCAACTAGTGTAGAAATCACCCAAAAAGTATTTGGCCATTACTTCTTATCTGATCTTGTGGCTCCGTCTTTGACCACACGTCTGGCTCGTCATTTGATAAGCCACTGTCTTCCTGCACTTCCAGTGCTTCGATTGTTTCCTCCAGAAACATCAGACATGCCTTCTCTTCAGCAGATAGGTACTCCATACTATCCTCGCTCTGGAAAACAATAAACAAGCCTAAGTGTACTGAAGTCATTTCAAAGTTCAAAGTCAAACATGCGTAAAATGCCATTATTCTTTCAACTGATCTTACACATTTCTAACACAAAAATAATCAGTAAGATCTAAAACAGGAAGACCAGACAACGATAATGATGTGTCCTCCATCTTGAAGCCTGTCATGCTCTATGGCAATACACACAAAACAGGACAGGAATGTATTGTTTTAATGGATGTGTGGCTACAGCAGTTTTTGCTGGAAAAATTATCTATGCAGGAAATGAGGGTGAGCTCCATAGAAAGTAGAGGGGGCAGATTTCTCCTTGCCCTCCAACAATAGGCCTTCCTTTGCAAATAACTTAAGAAACAACTGGAATTTTGGACTCAAGGGAACCAATAAGTCAAAGCTGAGGGAAGAGCACAATGTATGCTATGGCTGGAATGCAGATAGATCTAAGATGGAGTCAACAGCCAGATCACTGAGGTTAGTGCTGGTGTTGAGCAAAACATTGTTCAGGTAGAAATATGTTCCTTTACTGGCAACTTGTTTCAGTGGCATTTTTTCCCTGGGTCTTAACCAAAGACAGGAACATTTAAATACAGATGTCGGTTTTCCTACTTCTTTTAAATCCACAACATGTGTAACGTAGGCTTGAAGTGACATGTTGCCGACAGAGTACTGCAGGCGTGACAGATGAAATGTGATCATGATTTGGCATCTTCTGGTTGTGTTCTTTACCGTCTTGTGCTTGTTTTTTTCCTTTCAATGTCTTCTAATAATAAAAACTATTGTAAGCTAAATGTCTAAACTCAATTAAATTGGAAAACCTGTAAAACTAATGACTAATGGCCTTTATTGTTTCCTCTTGTCTAGTTCATTTTAAAGGATGCTCTTTGTACAACTGCTTATACCGAGACATTTTCATTAGGTCTGAAAATTTGCTGAAATACGTCATTACAACCAATCGCAAATCTAAGTTCTTCTCTTCATTTTGCCAAGCGACCTTAAAGAATGGGATAATCTCCCAAAAATCAGATGAAAGACATAAGGAGACTTACAGCGCCACTCACCCAGGCAGAGTTTGTGCTGATTACACTGTCACAGCTCCCTGCACTGTCCATGTTACTCAGTGACTCCATGGCAACGTTGCCTGGCCATGTGCCACTCTTCGACATTGCACGAAGACGCGCGTTAGTGCTGGAGCTATGTGTCACTATCCAGCCTTGCTTGTGTAAATCTCACTCGAAGCCTGTCTGGGAGAGAATCTGTAAAGTCGAGAAGAAGACGACAAGCAAGTGTTTAAGAAACTTCCAGAAAATAAATGGGAGCATGAGGAATAAACCTTAGGTGAACATGCTAAAGAAGGATCTCAAGACATCAACCAGGAAGTTAAAAGCAGAGTGTAAATCTGTCTTTCAAACAGACAAGGGAATATACAAACAAATCAGTTACAAACTGGCTTAAACACAACGAGGTCAGTCATTTGGAGTGGCAATAACAAAGCCTTGACACTGGTCCCAAAGGAAATATGTGGACAGAAATTAAAAAGTTATGACGCGAGTTCTGTCAGGAAGAGATTGTGGAAAAAAACCCTAAAAGTTTTGCACTCATTCACAAATAAAAGTGCTTTTAGTAGTCCTTACTGGGCTAAAGCAGGAAATTTAGTTAACGAAAGATGGCGATAAACAGTGGTGAAGAGTATTTTTATAGAGTGTAAGTGAATAAGTGGTTTAAACTGCATCTATTAAATAATAATAAACATGGGCCGGGAGGCTAAATATAGCCAGCATATTAGTACATTTAAAGGCACGATTTCATCAAAGTGATAAATGCCACGACAATCCTACTGACAGCTCAACAATCTTCATAATGTAACAACTGTCTTGAAATGTATCCCCTTATGCCAATGAGATCGTTAAATAAAAATAATAGCTAAAGTAGAAAACATTTGCATGGAAAGCAGTGTTTGCATTTAAATAAAACATTAACAAGATAGTCGGTCACCATGAAATGCAAACATTTCAATTGATTTTATCATGTAGTGAAAAGCAATTTTTGGTAAAACTTTAAACTTCTACGGTCTGTTAGACGTACAACATCTAATTTACTAGTCAAAATAACTGGATGTTTTCTGTAAAGAATGGAGAACCTTGTAAAAGTGTTCATACACAAACTTCAATGCAGTTTACTGACGTTTGATTTAATAAAGGAAACAGAACATTCTAAATATTTTCTAGGTAGATCAAATTGTAATTATGACATCATAAGGCAAGAAGTGGATTTTATTTACAGGCATCAGAGTAAAAAGTTATTCAAATCCTACACGCGAATCTATGTGAAACCCTTGAATAAAGCGGGTTTCTACCATAAAATGTTCACATTCATAAGTGACAATTTGAATGAACCACATTTACATTTTTCATGTGGTACATGCGATTTTCACATGTGAAATTCATTTTTTCTGTAAAGTAAATGAATCTATTACTGCATTTAGATCACAAACTTCGCCTCTAGTGGAATTTTTTTAAACCTGCTCTTGAACCTTTTTCCTCCCTCTTTTCAAGAAAACCTGAAATTCTGGCTTAAAATTGGACATGCAGCAGAGGACACGATTGAACACAGTCATAATTCAAACATTTTTTGATTAAGTGCTACTAGACTAAGAATAATGAAAAGCTCTGACGAGACATGAAACAGTGCACTGTGAGTCATGTATAATTTATGCAAAGATAACTAATGTGCTGTGTAGTGCTGCAGAATGTTTCTCTGCTTCCTTGATGTCACTTCAAGCAACTACTTGGTGTTGACAGACCAGTCACGAGGAAGGCATGCCTGACAAAAACAATACACCCAGTCGTGATTTACTAAAAGGCTACCAGGATGTAATAAAAACCTTTGACCTGAAAAAGAAGCTAAAAGTTATGTACTAACAGTTTTACTTGAGTTTTCACTTTAACTGCATCAGTAAAAACAGCACATAGTCATTAGATAAATAGAACGTAATGTACTGTAAACGACGTTGTTGCACCCGCACACAGGTTTCAGGCGGCGCTCGCCCAAGTACAGCAAAAATGCCTTTTATTGTTCTCTTATCTCAGAATATTTGAGTAACTACATCGAGCCAGCAGAAATGAAGATTGCACACATGCTTTGTTTTCCACAAGTTTGCATGGCATGGATGCAAGATAAGATTTTTTATTAGTCTCTCATAGGAGACATTTGTCTTGGAAGCAGGGGCAAGACTGCAGTATTTAAAAACTTTTCTGACACAATAATGTAGAAAACATGCATCATTGAGTGCTGAAGTCATTCATATCACTAGAAAGTTGGGTGGAGGAGAAGATGCATCAAGTACAGGGATAATGGCAGCCTGGTGAGAATTCTAGTGTAAATCCGCTAACATTTTTTAGAATAGATTCACAAGGTGTATACCACGGACGTATACAGAACATGGGATGCGCCTGTCATTGAGATAAGGTTTCTTCTGAACAAAAGACAACATTAGAGGCATCTGAAGGCTGCTAGCAAAGCAACTCTACAACTCAGCAGGCCCACAGGCTAATTCCTTCCATGCCATACTGCATTGCTGCAGCAATTCATACAAAAAGAGGTCCACCCAAATACTAAGTGCATAGAAATGCAGACACTTTTTTAGAAGTCTGACATTTTTGTTTAAAATAGTATTTTTTATTTATCTTTCAATTTTTCGAGACCCTGAATTGAGTTTTTAATCGTCTGTAATCCACAATCGTGGAAATTTACACGGAATACAAGCTAGTGGACAAATTTTAACAAGGATCATATTGTTTACTGAACGGATAGGAAGTGGTTGATCCACGGGGAAGTACCTTATTTTACGAGATAGTAGAAAAACTAATTTGCAAATCTTGTTGTTTTACTTGCAAATCCTAACTAAAACATTGCAGGACACCAGAATGGCTTCTCGTATTCTGGAAGTGCTGGCATAAACAGCTAGCTAATAGGCAGCTGGGGAAAAAACCTGATCTTCAAAAAACGCCCACATTAAGAAATGTTTTCTGAAAACATGAGGGGGTTGACTAAACACATATCGGTCTCAGTGTGAAAGCTTCAATAGCTGCTAATTACTGTCCCTCCCATTAGGACATTCAGATGAGAAAATGCAGGACAGAACCAACTGGCACAACACCTTCCAGGGCAGAACAGGAGGAGAAACCTGCAGCGCAACAGTGGCACCCACAGCTGAATCAGACCTCATGGTGTCAGGAATGTCACTCTACTTGCTTCCTTGGCTCCGAGACAAATCTGATTCAGCCAAGGACTCTGATGTGACTGGGTCTCACAGTTCACCTGCAGAAAAAAACTCCTACAACTATTTGAACTAAAATGGGATAATCAGCAGTTTCCATCAGTACATTTTGTGAGCCAGACTTATTAAAACCCCCAGTACCATAAATTACAGTCTCAAACAGGCAAAACTGCGAGCGTGGTAGTACACGAAAGGTCCAAAAAATGTTAAGTATGTTTTCAATGGCAGAAGGTCTGCTTGAACTGGTTAATGGTTACACCATTAACCAGGTTGCAAAGGGTCAGGGGCAGCGCCACACTGAGGAGCTTAAGCCTGCAGGAGTGAATAGAAATAGTTCATTAATGTTTAGCTTGGCAGCCATCCGTGCTGAGAAGCTTTTATTTACTTTAATGGGCAAATATTAGCACTTCTTCCTCAATCAATATCCACTAAAGCACACACACAAAAAAAATCTATAATAAAACGAAGTGATATCGACGCACCATAACAAAGGATACTGCTTTAGTTTTTAAAGTCTCCCTACGAAAAGTGATAAAACAAACCTCATCTGTAACGAGAGAAAATTAAAACAGCTCCCACACAGAAGTCTATTTTTATAAACTCATACGTAAGTACTAGTGGTTTTTAATAGTCTAAGCGCTCTTTTCTTTCATGCTCATTCGCACATAAAAGAAACGCGTCACATCAGGAAAATGTCCCAATAACTTACCTGAGGGCGCACAGAAAGTTTTGAATTCCGCCGCAACGTCGGTCCTCTTTGTCCTCACAGACACACACACAGCTGTTGTCCACTCTCAGTCCATAGCCGATATAAAACCTCGCACAGGTGGGGGCTGTTCCTGGAAACAAAACTGCGCAAGGAGCTGACCGTACAGGTGTGAAACCACCTCCAGGACTACAGACAGGTGAGGCATCAACTTCCGTATATGGTGGGGAGGGACCAATCAGAGCACGGCTCCCGAGCCGTTTCCAAGGTGACAGCAGCGGCAGGCAAATGAGCACAACCCAAAATTGGCCAAATGCATTTATGTGGAATCAGATTTTTATTTATGTTAATAAACACAGAAAGTGAATTTTACGAAAACATAATTCAATGCTTTTTTATTTTATTTTAATATGTTTGCAGGCAAACCGTTTTGTGGTTGTGTCATTGTGTCATTTAATTTTATTTTGTAGAAAATTTGTCATTGATGCACCATCAAAACATAAACTCACTGGTCACTTTGTGGACAAGTGTTGGACCACCTTGTGCCATCAAATCTGCCTTAAATCCTCTTGACGGCGATTTAACACAGTGAGGAGTTCTGGTCCTTTTTGACATCATAGCATTGGACAATTACTATTGTGTTGTGAGATGATCATCCATGATGCAAATCTCCATTTCCTTCTTACTCCAAAGATGTTTGTTGAACATGGATCTGTTGACTGTGGAAGCCATAGGAATACAATGAACTCGTCATTTTCAAGAAACCAGTTTGACATGATTTAAGCTTTGTGCCATGGTGCATTATCCTGACGGAGGTAGTAAGAAGAGACTGGGTACACTCTGGTCATAAAAGGACGGACACGGTCAGTGAAAACTCTCAGAATGTCTCTGGCATTTAGAAAAGCTCAATTGATACAGCGTCTTCCACATTACACCATCATTAGCATGAAGCACTGAAACATGTCATGAGATCCATGTCTTCATCGAAGCTAAATTTTGACCCCACTAGCTAAATGTTGGAGCCAAAACAGTCTCACCAGGTCAGGTTTTATTTTGGCTAGGCTTAGCTTGCACTACACTTCAAATGACATTAAGTCATTATAAGTCCGTTTTAGCTGGTTGAGTGTCACCCAGGAATAGCACCACATGTTTGTGACTATGTAAATTGAAATCACCACCATCCTCTGCCCTTTTCCCCTCGAGTTTTTTTATTTTTTTTTTATTGCATGCCAATGGCACTACATTTTACTTTTCAGAATAAAGAAGCACTGTTAACATCATTTGACAGAATTATCAGGTCCTTTACCTGCCAAGTTCGCAGCTACATAACTTCACGAGCAGAATTAAACTAGTAGGCCATTTTAGATGAGATGAATATAAACTGGTCACTTTTAGAACATGGCAGAAACCTTCAGCAATCAGCGACGCTTCTGCTCTCACGCAGCTACTCTTCACTTAAACAAAAATAAATGTAGTAAGGCTTCATAGTTCTGAGCTGAAGTAAATTCTTTGCTGCAGTAATTTTCTCCCGTTGACTCATTTAACAACAGCTGGAATGACAGCTTGAATATTTGAAATTATTTACAGCTGACAAAAATATAAATGTAGGGCACGCAAACAGGAATGCTTTCAGCTTGAGCATATTCATAACACATTAGAGTAATGAGAAGGAAAATGGAAAACAATGTATAGTAAACCTTGTAATAATGCTTTGGTTGTGAAATCACAGCAGGCTTTGTTTGCTTCAGGAATGACAGAAGTTGTTTGGAGGCAGAGTTACCCAAGTCAACCTGAACAAATTGATTTGAGCAAACCACGTCGACACAGAAAAACTAGTTGGGTTACGTGTTTAACCAATATGCTGTTGATAAAGAAGGTAGGTAGTTTTAACCAAACAGTGGGTCAAAACATGATCAGTCTAAGCTGGTATCTGTACTCGGGATGAAAAAAAGCTATTGTAAAACATTCTATAATAAAACAAAGTAAAATTACAAAGAAATACTGGCTTGAAATATATCATTATGTATAATGAGATTACAGAAAATTGACATTTTGTGTGGACTTTTTAAATTCCACTGTATGTATGAATGTCAACAGCACGAGTGTGCACAGATGATAGCAGTATAAGAGCTTACAAAAACATAAAATAGCAAAAAAAAAAGATTCAACGAAGGAAATAATTCTAATCCCAACATTTATTAGTTTTACAGTTATGAAAAATAACTATAAAAAAGACTGGAAGCCCAAGATTATTTACAATCTTTTCTTTTTATGAATTGAGGTCCCTCTGAGTCAATTCCTCAGCCTTTTTTCTTTTTAAATCACAGGGTATTTATTCACGATATGTTTTAGTTTATAAGACATAGTCCTTTGCTTTGACAAAAACATCAAAAATTATATACGTACATACATACATATACACATACATACACATATATATATAGATAACTATAAAAGCCAAAATCATTCAAGTATCAAAATACAGACTGCTCTAGAATCATGTACATTTCCATTCTCAACATATCAGATTAGTTCCAAAAAAAAAAAAAAAAAAAAGTCTCCTGATCCTTGGCAATGTGCAAAAGCAGCACTGGATCAGGCCGATGGCTAGCAGGTGCCCACACCGGGATGCTGAAGAGGGCGCACCAGTGTGTCGCCACACATACCACAGTTAAACCGTTAAGTACTCAGACTCACACTGATGCACCCAATAGTACCATTAACAGTCAACGTACAGGGAGTCACCTGGAAAAACATGTTGTACCCTATTGTTCTGTTCTGCAGCTTAAAAAATAAAAAAGTCGTACCAGCCTGCATGGCAGGTTTTGGTGAATAATCTTGGTAAGATTAAATTAAACAATGGGGGAAGGAAAAAGGTGAGTGCGCCAGTCATGATCCAGTTCCAGCATTAGGACACTATCAGTTCCATAAAATGAATAAAACCAACAAAATAAGAATCAAATCAAATAAAAGTGGGATTTCATTGAGAGATAAGTCTTTGTAGTGTTGGTTAAAATGTTTCTCCCATGCAGGAATATACTAGGCTGATGGTTATGGAGAGAAGCTCCGATATCTGAACACAAAGGGTAGTCTGTGCGTACAGTGTGAGGTCTCACTCTCTCAAAAAAAAGAAGAAAAAAAAAAGATCAATATTCTCACTTGTGCCACTTCTCCTTTCGCTACAGATTTCTGCATCGGTGCACACAGGTATGTTTTCTCAAACAGTGAACACCAAGTCTCTGTGAGGGAGGCTACAGCTTGTGAATGCATGGAGAGCAGAGACACTGCCACACTCTGATGGGCAGGAAGATGTGTGGAGAGGTCAGACGAAAAGGAGCAGAGCCTCTTCTTTGTCTTCGGGTCTCCATGTGTGCTGCGAGCATGATCGGACTGATGACGCGATGAGCTGCTGCTCATCACTTTTCGATCAAAAAACACACACAAAAAAAAAAACGCCAGCTCATCCCCATCATGCAACAGGGTTCATTCCCGTCCCATCTCGCTTAATGGGAGGAGCAGCGACATTCAGCTAAGAGAGGAGGGAGGGGCACGCAGACACATGCACACAATGTAAGATGATTAAAATGGAGTGAAAACAGAAAACACATGTTCACACAAACTGTTCCTCCCTTTATGTAATGCGTAACTTTTTTTTTTTTTTCCAGCAGCAATGTATTCAACAAGTATCATTGGCAATATTACAGAAAGGCAATGCAGACAGGATGAATACTGAAGGCATTTGTTGTGAAAAGAAGAAAAGAAGGGAGAGCTACACAGAGGAAATGCTGTTATTTTTATACAAAAAAAAAAAGGTAAAAGTGCTTAATTACTGTCAGTTCACTGTAGAAAAATCATCTGGCTGCACCCTTTTGCTCTGATTAGACAAATTAGAGCATAACAGTCCAAATATACAATACCTTGCAAAAGTATTCACACATAAGTTTAAAATATGGTCATCTTAAAACCTCAACGTCCAACGCCTTTTATAGACTTTTTCTCAACTAGCCTCACTACGGAGAAGCTTTTATTTTGGAGGTACAGGAAAGCTTGTTAGAGCTAACCTAAAGTGACAGGAAGTCAGTTGTAACTTTGGAGGAGTTGGACAGGTACACAGCCCAGGTGGGAGAATAATGTTAAATAGACAACTTTTATTAAGTTCTACTTGGAAGCAACATAGGGGACACAGCAAATGGCATATCAAAGAAAAATTCATAGATGGAGTTCATCCAATCTGAGTTTGAGCTACAATATAAAATCTTAATGCAAACACATGCAACTCTTTTCAGATTGTAAATAGGAAAAAAATTAAAAACATGCTACCTCTGATCAGTTATGCACAACTCTATATTGGTTTTTAACAAATAAATGCACAATAAAAAAACATTGAAGTTTGTTTTTGCAACTTAAAATGTGGAAAAAAAACAATTGCATGAGGTCAACACTTCTGCAAGGCACGTTGATTTGGACTTTTTGCTGTGTCATGTTCTCTTTCTAAGAACAAATCCCCTCTAAACGAGCTCCTCACAGTGCTACAAGAACTCAGCGTGGCTTTAAGCAAGCGGCTAATAGTAATAAACCTCCTAAACACTCGCACTCCCACGAAAGAGGAGCAGCCTGCTAAAGCCTGATGGATGCATAGAGTTAGGAGAGCAGATCCACAGTTTTCTTCTGGAAACATCCATCCGGGAATGGGATGAGCAAAGCGGGTGGGTTCTCAGATTTTTCTCAGCACTCAGTGAAGTCAAGAGATGGAAAGATCAGAGCGAAAAAGCTTCAGAGCGGCCGTCGCCTGATGCAGCGGGAAAGAAAGAGCTCATCACCGAGAGGAAAACAGTACATTTGCAGTCGAAGGGGAAAGAAAGGGAAGCGGTGAGTTAAAGGAGAATATGTTAGTGCCAGACTTGTTGAGTGATTGCGATAATCAATGCAGAGTGTAGAAGTGGTGAAGGTTCAACTTGGAGAAGGAGCAACAGAGGCTGGTTAGCTGTCACAGGCTGTGTTGTCAGGAGGTGAGGGGAAGTGGACGTCCAGCGCAAAGGAAAGGGCTGAGTCACAGTGAAAGGCACACAGGAGGAGGGAAGTAGGAACAGCCAGGCCAAGGAAGGAGGAGGACGAGGAGGAGAACGGGGGGTCCGGTTAGAAAATGGTGGTCTCATACTTAGTGCTGATTGAGCGTTTAGATTCCTTTGGATCCACGAGCCACGTGGCAGCGGTGTGGGGCTGCGACTCCCCTTCTTGGTCCAGTATGTCTCCCTGTGAGCACAGAGGAGAGAAAACGTTACAATCTTCACTTCACAACTGAATCTGTCTGTATAAAAGTGTGTTAACATGTTGAAGTGAGTGATCACATAATCTGCTGTGGATTTCTATTGAAGGAATGTCAATTTTTCTCTTTTTTTCTTCCATTGAAAATGGTGCTGTATGTTTAGAGTAAATGCCCTGGAGGAACATACACCTCTTAACTTTCCATCATGTTTCCTTTCATCACGCAGCTTTTCTGTCTTGGCAACAGAAAAGCGCTCCCTCTGCATGATGCTGCCACCGCCATGTTTCAATGTGGGGATGGTGAATTCGGGGTTATGTGCAGTGTTAACATTTTTCACCACAGATGACACTATCACTCATCTCTTATTTTATTTAAGTTTCATTTGGAAACAATAAAGCATTTTTGAATAGAATCTGGCGAAAGTATCACACATGGAAAACTGCAAATTATTCTCTATTCACTTCACAGTCGAGCAGTACTTTGTGTTGGTCAGTCAAACACAGTCTCATTGAAATTAAGTTTCTTAGTCATCATCTGAATCTACTCGACTTATTTAACTTGTTTTGACTCATTCAGATCCGCCTTTATTTTCAACTGGCAGCAGCTGCCCATCTTAAACCCTGGATAAGTATGCTGAAACTTCAGATCAACTACAAACAGCCAGTAATGTGTCATTATGCAACATGGCTTCTCTGAGAAACTGCACCCTATAAATGACTAAGACTGGCTCTCTTGAATTGTTGTGCTCTCAATCGTGGCTGTTGTCTCACTACCGCTCCCAAAGCTGCAGGAACCTTTGAGCTTAATTTAAAATGTTGTAATATTAAGTCCTCTATGCACATAAAAACATCTAATAACAAAAGTATACATGTGAGTGGTGGGTAATATGTCTAGTATAGTCCAGATAGATCGTCTTACTGTTAGATGTTCACTAGGGGGCAGCAAAGATAAATAATAGAGAGGAATACCGAGAGATGGAACAAGATGGACAGGCTGGATGCAGAGACAGGAGAGACCTGTAGGTGGTGCCTGTGCAACAGTTATAGAAACTTAAGATATTTATGATTGCATATGTATCTGAAAAGGATGGAACACCTCTTCAGTGTATCTGCATTTGGGATCAGTTTTTTTGTTGTCGTTTTTTTTTTTTTGTCCCACTCACCCCCGACTTCCGAACACTCCCTCGCGGCTTGGGCACAGGTCGACTGGACTTGGATTCATTGACGTCTGAGCTGCTTCCTGCAGGGAGACCCTGATGCTGTTTGGTCCTCTGGGCCTGCAGAGCCAGCTGATAGGCCACCTCAAACGCCTGGCCCAGCGTCAGGATAATCTCATAGGTCAGGCTCTAAGCAGAGACACAAAATCAAAGAGTCAGTTTTTATTTTACAAACTGAATCCTTTTTTTTTTTTTTTTTACAGTAGTGTAGCTCAAAAAGTAACAATAAAAACCTACTAAATTAGGAGTAACATTTCAAGCTAAAAGTAAACAACTGGTTTCATATTCATGATCACTTTAAGCTTATTGGTGCCCAAAGTCTACTACTAAACTGTAACTAAATACAAAGACATTTTATAGTTTTCAACATCAAACAAAATTTAAATTCAAAAATTGCAGAGGTTTGACAATATTACTATTACTCTATGACAAATACAAATTAAATCATTTTTTTCCATAATAGTGTAATAAAATGTTATAGCCTTTAACAGGATCAACAATTATTTAAATCTGACCTGGAGTGTATAAAACACACCAAAAAATTACATCATTTCAGTATTTATCTAATAAAGATGAAGAACTTTTTCTATAGCTACAGCTGTCAAATGGCACCAATCAACACACCTACTTACTCAATCACCTGTATAAAAGCTGGGGATATTGGCAGCTATTAGATGTGTTAACACAAATGCCAAAGCAGAAAGACATCAACAATTACCTTAAAGAAACGATTATTGCTGACATTCGCTTTCCTGAAATTGGGTTTTGCAGTTAATGCAGTAGTTACTCCACAAGCTGATTAGGTCACATTGAGAAAATGACCCAATTATTCAGATTCTATTTCCCTTCAGTCTTGTTTAATTATAAAACAACAGTCTATATGCATTAACCTTCAGATATGGATCAGTGTGTTGACGTACCACGTCTATTGTGCTGAAGACATGGCAGTAATGGTGGCTGGTCTGCAGGTCTTTAGTGATGTAGGCAAACGTACACAGGTCCTCTGGATCCTGGGCTGCACATGATATGTTACGGATCTCGTGCTCTGCGATGATGTTCTGCAGCAAAAGGAATATATATTCATGACATTTATGAAAGAAATGCAACCAGTACGAGACCTGAAATGCCTCAAGTGGCTAGTTTGAATCTTAGTTACCTTGTTTGCTGCGTCTATAAACTTCACGCCCTTGTAAGTGATCGACAGAACGATAGTTGGGATTTTTCTCATTTGTTCTGTGGATCTCTAGAGAAAAGGCAAGCGCAGGCATATAAACACACAAAGCTGATTTACTATTGACTGATCGTGAATATACGTTTCTTTATTGTCTCCCGATGTTTGAAAGTCTTATTACATACCCGCATTTTGGCACAAGCATCCTGCGTGGATTCAATACCCCTCAGATCTTTAATCAGCATAGAACCAAGATACTGCAAATGAGCAGGAGATACGAGGTTACTGATCATTTATAACAAAAGCAGCAAACGAGAAGTCAGAATGAGAAAGGTATTAGCGTACACTAGCTTCATAGGCGCAAAATTCAAATATGAGTTTCTCAGGCTGGTGGTGCCAGTTCTGGACGGGGGCATATGCTGCTAGACTCGGAGGTCGTAAGGTCAGTCGAGGCTCCTGATGAATTTCTTCATATCGCTCCTGAGACAACAAAAAAAAGTAATAAAAAAAATCAACACAGAAGCCTGGAAGATGGCAACCATACCCACCACATCCCAGAGACGTCAGCTCATACCTGAGGCTTTTGCCTTCCGCTTTGATATCTTTGGGCGACGTCATAATCCGTTTCTGGTGCTTTTTTCCTGCCCGGCTCTGCTGCGGGCAGCAGCGGGTCCATGGAGCGGCCGCTGTAGGGCTCCACGTGACTGAGAGGAGATGAGGTCTGGGATCCTGGCAGGTCCTGACACTGCAGAGAAAAGGTCACACAGAGTTTATCACCTAGCACTTAGTTAAATAAGATAAAAACTTTTATTTCTTTGCAACATGCATATTGATGCAGATAACTTTGTTTTCACCAATTGTAAAGTTGCTTAAAAAGCAACCTTACATATATATATATAAAATTATTATTTTTTTTTTATCTTAGTAGCATAACATCACTTTGAAAAACCTGAACTTTAATTTGGGTGCATGAAGTCAGTGGGGGGAAAAAAAATCCAGTTTGCAATGATTGCAAAATATTAGAATCCCTAAAGAAATCCAGGGTTCTGTCTTATTGTCTCATTTCTTTGCTCTCCCTAAAGTTTTTCTACAGGATTTAGGTTGCGAACCTGAGGAAGAAGGTTGATTCTGGCTCTTGTGAACCATTCCTGCCATGTGTTTTGGATCATTATCAAGCTGAAAGGACCAGTGCCAATTGATTTACTTTTTTTTTCTGGTACATTTGACAAAACTTTAATTTAAAATCTCCCAATATCTCAACATGTTCATGTTATACATTAAAAGTACATAGATGCTGTAATTAATAGTATTACTTGGGGAAAAAAATAAATAAAACAATGATTAAGTTGCATGATTATGCTGGTAGAATAGAGTGATTTATGATAACTTTTGTATTGTATTGGAGTTGTTGATGTATTTTCCATATCTGTACATTAAAACATTTACATCAGACCACATAATGCGCAACTTTGCATGTTCTCACCCTGATCTGAGACAACCGAGGAGGTTTGACAGGAGGCTCCTCATAAGGCCTTTCAGCTAAGGAGGCTATGATGCGTTTCCTGTGACCAAGCAAAGTAATCTTAAGCACCTGCAGAAAAAAAAAAAAAGTGGGACATTATCTACTGAAGACACAAACTTTAGAAAAACATCACTCGTTTAAAAGGTCAGCTGTGGAGTCATCCAAGTACTAACTGTGAAACAGTTTGTTGGAAGTCTAGGAATAATCCACAGACGTTACTGCAAACCAAAGACATGACTGCTTCTCTCAGAAGTTGGACCTACAACTCCTGTTGTAGGTCCAGAAGTTGGACCTACAACAGAGGAGGAGACTTCCTCCTCCAAAAGGAAATCTCGTCACCTCCTAGAAGTGACGAGCTAAAAACATCCTCTCTACATCCGAGTGTTCACCTTCAGAGTTTTAAACTGACAACTCGACTTCTGTGCGACACTCTTGGAAACTAATTTCACCGTCTGATACTCTGCACAGTCTACCTGCGTCAATGTGACTCACATTGACGATCTCCAGCTCCCAGAGGTTTTTCACACAGTCCAGGCTGCGGTAGCCGCTGGATAGGAAGTTGGTCAGGTACTCGTGCAGACCCAGATTCTCCAGCCAGGCAGAGAGGGAGCTGCTGCCGTCACATCCCAGGGCTTTCACCTGCGGAAGGAGAATACAGGAGAATGATGATGATGCCAGTGAACTGAATAAGTAATTAGTAATTGTCACCAATTACTATCAACTATTTTAATATGGAATGCCTAATAATTGGGCACAAGTGTAAATGACACTCTAATAGAATAACAAACATTTTGGGAAAAACTAATAAAATGCTGCAGCAGTGTGAAAATCAGTTCAATGAGAGTCAGCAGTGGTGCAATGGCAACTGGAAACTAACAATTCAAAGCTAAACACTCTTTTTTTTTTAAAGTGTTGGCATCTAGATTCATGCCAGCAGGTGCTCTGCATTATAAACCCAGTAAGAAATTAAATGGAAAACATTTGAGATAAAAAGCTGATGTAAAAAGACTTCAAAGACTTCAATGTTTTATGCAGAAATTTTAAATTCAAATAAAGAAAAGATACCTGTATTTGTATATTGCTTGATTGAGACAGTGCTATTGGACATGTATAGGAGTTACGGAAAATATATATAAATATTACTAAAAATTCACACGAGTCTAATTAAAGTGCATAGATATAATGACTATTTCTCAAATCTGCCATGTGCTTTAGTGTCAAGGAAAAATGTGCATCTTCCATTAGCATGGAGTCTCATTATGCTAAAATAACTAACGAAGTCGGGGTGAGGATTCCGTCACCTTTGGTAAGGAGCGTGCTGCATGCAGGATCTTCTTCCTGTGGCTCGGATCTGTGATCCCAATCTCCCTCAAGTCTTGGTCCTCCATCACGTTATTCCCCTGCAGAACAGAACACAAGCACAGCCGTTATTGCCAATAACGGGAATAGTGACTACTAAAGAAACTCTTAGGAGGACTTTGAGGAAAACCATGCGACCTCTCAAAGAATAATCCAGTTTAGAAATCTATAACCTAATCATCTGTTTTTAATCCCAAACAGGCTGCTTTTATCAAAGGTTAAATATAGCCAAGACTAATATTCCCTGAGAAAAGACTTTGCTGGTGAGTTAGTATCGATTCCAGATACGCAGCATTGCAAGAAAAGGTCGGCCATGACTGAGTGATATTCTCCTTAGACTGTTGAAAGGGGAGCACTTAAATGAGACCTAACAATACTTAAGGACTGGACTGATTAGGACGTAATGAGTTATGGTCAAGCTGGTCTTAGTCACATGAAATATCACCTTGGAGACAGTGTGGTAGATAAAGCAGAAAAGATCCATAAATCAATGTCTGTGATGCAGAGAGGTCAGCAATATGAGACGGAGGAGCAAAACAGCCGATGCCTGGTAGCCAGAGCCAACACTCAGATCAAAACGCATGCCAAGAAGGAGTGGACGTCGTTTGTTTTACTGCCCTGTTTGCTAATTTCACGGACCTGCAGTCCAACAAATAAGGCTTTATGGAGTAATCTCGCTCAAACCGGCCAGTAAGTAGTCAGCAAGAACTGCAAGTACACCTTGCAGGCTGCACATCGACAAGGTCAGCAACTAAATCTCATCTGTTAAAAGTATCAAAACGTTCCCCGCGGCTGCTGTATCGGGGACAAATTGCGACGCCTCAGTATCCACGAGGCTGACTTTTCAGTATATGCCTCAGGTTAATCCTTTCGTGCTCAGACTTGCTCAGCACTAACGGGACGGAGGAGAGGTCGAACCCGAGGACCTGTTTTCCATGCAGAGGCTGCAGATGTAAACAAGGCGTTTGACTGTCCAATCCGTCAGTGTAAAAACCGGAGACACAGGCGTCAAACTCCAGTCCTCAAGGGCCGATGTTCCTGCAGCAAGCTGCGTCTCTGTCAGCACACCTGATTGACATAATTAGGTCATTTCAGTCCTTGATTCAGGTGTGCTGGGCTTGGGACACATCAAAAAGTGGCAGAACACTGACCCTCGACGACTGGAGGTGGACATCCTTGCTGTAGAGCATTAGTGTCAGGATACATGGGGAATCACAACTTTAAGCAGTAATATGTCCTGTTTAATTTATATAATAACAATTAATGGAATTTTTAGATGGGAAAAAAAGGAGGAGTGCTAAATAAGTAAAACTGAACTATTTTACAATGGCAATAGCACTCCAGCTCACATCAGGACGCGATATCTTTGTTCTATTAATACCCGACACTCCGCTGACGTCATAACGATCATCTCCTCGCAGCCTCTGAGCGCAGCCTTTCCTGCTGAGGATTGTGGGAAGCTCAGTGGATAATAGCACTTTTACAGAGTATGGATGACTGCATTAAAGCCTCAGAAGATGAACTGCTAAACAGCTTCACGGAGAGAGAGATATACACCGACTTCACATATTTCCCGGGGAGCGTTCAGATTTTTATTTTCTACTGGGCAGTTGCTGCATTTAGATGGATATATCTTTTTAATTGTGGGTACTGTGGCGAGACCTTGCACAAATTATTTTTTCTTGAGTTGTGGGATTTTAAAAAGAAAATATACGGTTTATGACGCTGGGGCTTAAAGAAACACCTGAACGCATGCATGGATGTCTTTCCATCAGATGTGCTAGTTTCCATAAAGCATGGTTTCCATGTTTCTATTTAAAATACAATTTTTCTTCAAGGTGCTGCTGGACAGAAAAACAGATTTAGCAGTGCTACCAGTGATGGAGAAACATTAGAAAAATAATTTTTGGAGTGATATTAACATAAAAGTGTCTTCTTTTTTTTTTCGTAAGCTAAAAAGCTTTGATAAACTGGGTGATGCAGTGGGGATAAATTTGTGGTACCAACTGGGTAGAATCAACAAACAAAAACTGCATTTTTTTTTTAAAGATATTCACTGCATACTTGTGTAAACTAGTTTGTTTTTTTTGTTGTTTTTTTTTTTTCAAATTGCACAGTTAATTGTGGCTCTAGGTCTAGTCGCCTCTTTACCAGCTCTTATTGTGTATGGTTGGTGCAAAATGTGCATGAAGGTCTTTGGTTTGAAAAGCACCCCCACCCCTCCTCCCTCCCCCCCAAAAAAAAAAATCACAAAAGAACAAAATGACAAAATGACAAAGGGAGAAATCACCAGAAACTTGACCATTCCTCTATCACTGCACTACTTTCTTTCAAATGCTCCTCTTTCCCTCCGTCGCTTATCCAGAGAAAGGCCACAGACTTCCCACTGGACAAGAAGTGCTCTGAATTCATACTGGGCAATCAGGAGCACAGATTATTCAGACCATCTAAAGGACATCCAGCCAGTAATACTGATAATCACAGTGTGTCCTGCTAAACTGCTGCGATCAAACTATTCAGACCTGAAGAAAGAAGCTGAGGAAGACGTGACTGGTTGAACAGATCTGCATATTTGCTTAACTATATATTAAAATATCATAACAGACAACAGAAGAATCAATCAACTCACATTCATTTAAATGTTAATATATGGAACCATTACTTTAATTTTTCTGCAGGGTTTCTCGACATTGATAAAATTCTGTGAAAACGATTGGGATGTTTTTTCATGGCAGTGTACAGATACTGAAAGATGGCAAAGATAGAAAAACTGTTGAATTGGAGATTAGAGAAATGCACCATGAAAAAAATTAACCAATGTCGTGGGATTTGATGCTTGTTGTAGCCTCTGAGCAACTGTCAGATTAAAAACAAGCTTCCACTAAAGAAGACTTTGCTACTAAATTTCATGTTCAAAGAAAATTTCCTCTCTTCAATCTGAAAAAAAATATATAAAAAAATCTCTGGACACAAAAGAAGCTTGGCTCAAGCCCATAATCCACCAGAAATTAAGATTTCCTATATATTTTGTTAACTATTCCACAGTTTTACAGACTCAATTTTACAGAGTTCATAGCCATTTATGTTCATTTATATTCATATTATAATACACAAGTTCACTATGAATTTACGACAAATTTTTGTACAACAACCAGAAAGTTGGAATGAAGGGAGGAAGGAGGGGAGTGAAGAACGCAAGCATGGAAGCCAGAAGGAAAGATCATTCGGAAAGAACAGGATCCTTCTGTGTCTGAGCATTACTTGCACCCTGGCTGTTAGGGGAGCCGTTTTTGGGCAGGACATTTCTCCAGCAGTCGATAAAAAGCATCTAATAGGCTTCAGGAGCAGAACACAACACAATCAGTGCTCCTATTGATCCAAATCTTGAGCCTGGAGGGCAGGACTGACATCACAGTGGACCAAGTGGAGGAGTAAAGACTATTTAATTAGACACCAGGTACAGCAGACATGAATTAACCAAGAAACATTTATTTTCAACTTGATTTAAACAGCATACAAAGGTTGGAGTTTCCCTTTAAATATGGGACAGATTTTAGGACAACTGGTGGTCTCCAAAGCTGACCAAAAACAGAATTGTCTTTTTTTAGCTCTCTGCTCTGAAAAGGAGGGGATTCGAGGCTGAGGAAGACGAGTGTGAGTTACTTAAACCAGCAGAACGATTAAAACCCAGGGAGAAACATCAGAGGCTTCAACACAGACTTATATCAACATTAAAAAGGATAAAAAAAAATAAATCTTGTGTTACGTAAAACATGAAGGTGGCTGAGACATACATCAGTGATCACTGCACACTTCTGTGTATAAATAACAGCAGAAAATTCTCAATTAGCAAATATTTATTTGTCAGATGTATAGTGTTTCCAGCTCTCCGGTGCTTATTGAATTGAAGATTTATGGAATTTGTTTGCCAAACTCGATTAAGCCGTCTGTGTATGATGATTTCTCGCTGAGCAGGATGAAAACAGATCCCTGCTGGTGCTAAAGTGAATGTGCTTTTACTGCGTCTATTTCAGAGTTTGTTTGTTTTGTCTCTAACTCTTCGTCACCAGCTGGGTCCCTCGTCCCCTCCACCGCCTGTCCTCGTTACTCCCAACAGCACCTGAGCTAACTCACACTGGCACTGAACACCACAGGCCGGAGAAGTGCGTCGGTAAAGCAACAGCTACCCGTTGATCACTCTCCAAACTGCTTTTTTTTTTTTTTTACAGCCAGTTCTGAGTGAGAGGACATGACATCAGCCTCATGAGCTCTGGACAGACAGACAGACTGACTGAAACTGCTGGACATACCCGAGTCAAGGCCAAACAAAGGCGAAAAATCTGACAGAAGCAGAGTTTCTAACTTCTTACTCTGAAATTGGCTCGCAACCTTCTACCAAAAGTTTATGTCCCTAAACGACTTGTGGTAAATGCACATTTCTTCCAACAATGGCTTTCTTCTTGCCCACCTTGCATAAATGCCAGACTTGACAAATAGTTGCTCTGTTAACAGATTCTTCAACCTGTCTTGTTGGTCTCTGAAGCTCATTTTGCAGCTGCACCATGCTCTG